CAGATTGAAAAAGAAAAAAACTCAGCATTTCAATAGATGAAGAAAAAGCATTTAATAAAATTCAACACCCATTCATGATAAAAGCAAGACAAAACAAACAAAAAACCTCACAAACTCTCAGTAAACTAGGAATAGCAGGAAACTGCCTTAACCTGATAGCATACATGAAAAACCTACATCAAACATTATACTTAGGTGAAAGATTGCAAAGAAGTCTGCTCTCACTGGACATAGTGCTGAAAGTTTTAGCCAGTGCAATAAAGCAATAAAAGATAAAACACTTATAGATCAGAAAGCATTTATCTGTAAATAACATGATGTTCTACATAGAAAATCCCAAGGAATCTCTCTCTCTCTATTTATCTATCTCTCTATCTATCGAACACTCCTGTAACTAATAAGTGAGTTCAGCAAGGTTACAAAGTCAGTATACAAAACTCAATTGTATTTCTGTATAATAATAATAAACAATCAGAAATTTATTATTTGACTACCATTTATAAACATCAAGAGTATAAAATATTTAGGGATAAATTTGACAAAAGATGCACAAGACCTATATACTGAAAACTGCTGAGAGAAATAAAAGACTTAAATGGAGAGATACATGCTGTTTTCATGAATCAGAAGACTTGGTATTATTAAGATGTCAATTATTTCCAAATTCATCCAGTAGGCTTTAAAAAAATTGACATACTGATTCTAAAATTTATAAGGAATAGCTTTTGAAATTCTAAAAAAGAACAAAGTTGAAGAGAGTTAAGAAATAGAATCCAATGTATGTGGTTAATTGACTTGACAAAAATGCCAAGGAAATTCAATAAGGAAAGTATAATGTTTTCAACAAATGGTGCTGGAACAATTGGTAGCTATACACAAAAATTACACCTTACCTCTTAACTCATATCATAAGTAAAAGTTTATTTGAAATAGATCATACATTTAAGTATGAGCTAGGCCTATAGAAAACAGCAGAAAATCTTTTTTTCTTTTAATTTTTTTATATTAAAGATGTGGGGTACAATTCAAGGTTAGGTATACAAATGTTCATGAGGCAGGTACCCTTGTTGATGAGGTGTACCCCCTCCCCCGGCAGATTCCCACCACTGCCAATCCTGTCCCCGCATCCGGCAGTTTTCTGCTACTGCAAATCCTTAGCAGAAAATCTTAGTAACCTTAGGTTTAGAAGAAATTTCTCAACTAGGATACAAAAACCATGATCTATCAAACAAATGGATAAACTGAACTTCATAAAAATTATAAAATGTTTAGTCTTTAAAAGGCAATAATGAGGAAATATACACCCACAATCAGGGATAAAAAAAATGTTTTAAAATGATAAGAAAATAAAAGTATAAGTCATAGATTGAGATAAAATATTTGTAAAATGCATGTCTTGCAAAGAACATGTACCTAGATTTAAGAAAAAAAAGTCTTTCAACTCAAAAAGAAAATAAAATGTTTTATTGATACTGCACCAAAGTATATATATATAGTTAGTAAATAAATATGTGAAAAATAAACATTATTAGTCATTAGAGAAATGCAAATTAAAACCACAGTGAACTCTAAGAAAAACACATTAGAACAGCTAAAAGTAAGGATTGACCATGCCAAACATTGTTGAGACTGTCTAGCAACTGGAGCTCTCATACACTGTTAATAGGATTGTGAAATAGTCCAACCATTGTGATGGTTAACTTTATGTGTTAACATGACTAGCCTAAGAGATTCCCAGATTACTGGTAAACACTGTTTCTGGCTGTATCTATGAGAACATTTGTGGAAGAGATCAGCATTTGAATTGGTAGACTGAGTAAAAATGATCTGCCTTCACCAATGTGGGTGAGTGTTATCCAATCATTCAGAGCCTAAATAGAACAAAAAAGTGGAGATTGACCTCTCTGATTGAGCTGGCACATTAGTCTTTTCCTACCCTCAGACATTAGCATCCTTGGTTCTGGGTCTTCAGACTCTTGCTGAGACTTACACCATTGACTCCATTGATGCTCAGGCTTTCAGACAGACTGAATTACGCCACTGGCTTTCTAGTTCTCCAGTTTTAAGATGGCAGATGGTGGGATTTGTCTCTTTAACTGTGAGTCAATTCCAATAATAAGTTTCCTCATATGTATGTCCTGTTTCTCTGAAGAACAGTGACAAATACAACAAATTTGGAAAACAATTTGGCATTTTCTTAGAGAGTTAAACATATACCTACCAAAAAATACACCTACACCTGTATAATCCAGCCAATTCACTCCTAGGTACCCAAGATAAATGAAAGCCTTTGTTCATACAACTTGTACATAAAAGCTTTTAGTAGCTTTGTTTGTAGTAGCTGTAACTGGAATCAACCCAAATGTAAATCAATATGCAAATAGATAAACAAAGTATGGCATAACCATACAATGGAATAGTAGTCCACAATAAAATGGAAAGAACTATTGACAGACACAATGTGGATGAATCGGAAAATAATTATATTGAATAAAAGAAACCTGACAAAAGAGCACATGTGTGATTTCATTTATATAAAATTTCAGAAAATGTGATCTCAATTATAGTGACATAGCAGATTATTAGTTGTATAGAGAGGATGGGTAGAGAGGAAAGTATTACAGAAGTGAAGGAGTAAAATTTCAGGAGTGATTTATCTGTTTATTGTCTTGATTGTGGTTATGGTTTCACAGATGCACACTTTTATCAAAATTCATCAAATTGTACAATTTAAATATGTGTATTTGATGTATGTCATTATATCTCAATAACATAATTTTACAAACACAGAAAGTGAAAAGACAAGCCATAGATTGAAAATTATTTGTAATACATGTAATCGACAAAAAATTTATGTAAAACATGTAAAAACTCTTATACGTTAATCAAAAAATTTTCCTCTATGTGTATCTTAGACTAGATGTACAGCTTTTAGTAGCAAAAACCTGAACATACCTCATATGCCCATTGTCAGTAGAATAATTTGTGGCATAATCACATGACAGGATACTTCACAGCAATGACAGTTAGTTAACTGTAGCTACATAGAACATCGGATTGAATCTCAGGAAAATAATGCTGAGTTAGAAGACAACTCTCAGAACAATAAATACAGTATAAATCTGCTTATTAAAAGCACAAAGTTCCAAAATTATTACAAATATAAAATAAAGGCAGTGATAAATGCAAGATCAGGGTTGTGGTTGATGGTGATGGGAAGGAAGGACAATGTAATCAGACAGGGACCCACGTAATACTTCAAGAATAATGATTATATTCTGTTTCTTCAACCATGTGAGGGTACAAAAGTGTATACTGCATTATTATTCTTTATACCACCGCATTTTAATAAATATCTCATAATCTCCTCAATCAAAAATAAAGCAAAAATAAGCATCAGGCCACTAGTGACAAGCCAGGATAAGTCACGGAGGGCATCTAAGGCCTAATTGGTCCTGGGATGGGATGAGGGCCAGGATTTGTCCCATCTTCCTCTGAGTATTCTGAGATGATCTTGATGGTGGAACTAACTCAATGTGCTGAATCTCAGTCTCCATGGTCATACAATAGACCCAATGTTGTTGTTTTTTTTTTCCTCCAGTGAATCACACCTATCCATTCATTGATCAAGCTTCAAGTGAGTAAAATTTCCCAGTAGTTTAGTGGATATTTAAGTGTAAAAGACTTCATAGTTTCACCCCAAATCTTCAGAGTCCTTCTTGCTTTCTGTATTGACAGTAGGGTCTTATAAGGACAGATTTAGGTGGTACAGAGGAGGATCTCTATCCAGGTAAGACATATGGTAAGGATAGTTAAGGAGAAGGGGTGGTATGAGAAGGGAAAGATTTTGTGATTTGTTTAGAAGCCCCTTAGCCCCTGTCTAACCCTGAAATTCTATGTTTTATGGAATCTTAAGAGCGGAGGTCCATTGACACACATTTCATTTATGTAATTTTTATAAGATTGGCTAGACTTTTCTTCCTCTTCTGAGATTGCTGGGTCTTTCACATCACATCAGCTGCAGGGCTTACTGCCTCACTGCTTCCCCCAACGCCCATATTCAACCACCCCTGGACTCCCTGGGGCCACCTACAAAAAAAATATGCTTCACAGATAATGAAAATTTTATTCTAAATGCTTATTTTAGACTGAGAAAGATTCACTCTCTTGTGCCCATGTAGCTGATGTATCTGCTCTGATCTGTGGTTTTTGCACAGCTGAAGGGTCATGCTGTCCCTCCCTCACCTTCAAGCAGGACTGCCTTCCCCCATATCTGGTGGTTCATCTCATCTGCAAAGAACCTGGTGGGTGTTATGTTGGGAGAAGGGGGAGGAGTGTGGTCACTGTGAAAAGAGACATAGGCCCTGCCATTGAGGAGGCCTCAGATGGCAAACATTTGGAGGCAGGGGCAATGGTTCCCAGAAGGGCCACCTGGAACTGAAGGGAGATGCTGTAGCCACTGTATATCTCCTCTTCCTGAATCTCCTCAGATTTCCCAAGCTATCAGATGCCTACTGTCTCTAATTTCCTCAGGATCAGTTCTTGAGCTTTGGCTGTGAGCCTGAATCCTGGGCTGTTGCTGGGCCCTCTGGAAATTGATGTTCTTGTTTCCTGTGATCCTTCCCAGAGGAGTCTTCCTGGCTCACACTCATATTTCCACTGAGACTGAGCAGCCTTAGACATGCTGCAGAAATAGAGAGATGGAATGATTCTAGAGAAATTTGTGCGGGTTTGGGATAGTCAGAGCCTACCGGAGACTAATCTGATATCTGACTTGGTGCGACACCAATCTTCTTCCTCCTCTGTGTTACAACATACCGGACACTAGAAACATGTAAGCCTTAGAGCAGGATGGGGCAGGACACTTGACTTCTTATCATTGGTTCTCCAGAGATTTATCTGGGTAACCCTCAAACAACTTCCCATCTCCCATCCCCAGTTGCCTCACCAGTGAAATGGATGGTTGTTGCATGGATCCTTCCAAGAGCGTACATGAAGGCCAATTTCATGCTTTGGAAGATCTCTGAGCTCTGTGAGGGGATTCTTGAACAATTGAAAGTGCTATAATTTCATCCACAGCCCTATGGACGCAGGTGATGCCAGAACTAGTTTGGCCAAGTCTGGATGGTGGAAGGCAATCACAAACTTGAAGATGAAAACAGACCCCAGATGCAAGGAGATGAGACAGTTAGATTTACTTCCTCTTTTCTAATTTGAGAGGTTTCATGTTGAAGAAAATCAGTGTTGGGTTTGTAGGAGACATAAACAGAATCGCCATGAAGCTGGGCTGTGTCCTCATGGCCTGGGCCTTCTACCTTTTGCCTGCTATGTTCTGGGCAGACCAGATGCTAATGGGTAAGTAACATTTTTCAGAACTGGTGTGGGAATGGAGCTATGCCTGACTTTGGGGAAAGGACTCGAAGGAAAGAAAAGTTCACTGATTTCGGCCCTTCAAAGAAGCAGCATTTAAGTGGGATAGGGAGGGTAGGTATAAGACAGTTTCTTTCTGAATATGAAAATCTTCAAGCCTCTTTCTTCTAAAAGTCCCCTCTGACTATGATGCTCTGTCTAGTGGCATTCTCAACTCTTTCACTTCCAAGACAAGTAACCTGAAAAAGTAGTCTGCACTTGCTATCATCGCTTCCTTACTTCTTGGTGCTTGTAGACTGGCTCCACTGCATTGCGTAGAGTGCAATACTTCCATGTTGACTGGTTCATTGCACATTTTAGTTCTTATCCTGCTGGACTCTTCTGTTGCTACCTTTGTTGCTCACTTATTCTTTCTTGCATTCTCTATTCTTCTGGCTTCTATGGCACCATTTTCTCCCTGTACCGCATGAACTTCTCTTGGTCCCTTGGTAGCTTCTTTTCTCTTCTCCTTAAACGCTAGTGTTCTCTGTAGTTACAGCCTGCCTCTCTACTTATCTTTCTTTACACAATCTTCATGAGCTTATTCGTATGTATATTTTTTAATAGTTCCAAATCATATCCCCACCTCAATCATACTTTTGAGATGTACATTCAAATATAAACTTCTCACAAGACATATCTATCCACATGTCTCACAGGTATCTCAGGACCATGTGACCAGAGCTGAACTCATCTGTCTTCCTGACCCCCACCTCTCCTAATGCGTCTTCCACTATTTCAGCTAATGCACCAGCAACCATCCTGACATCCGGCTGGAAAACCGAGTGACAACCTAGACTATTCCATCTCCTTTATTCTCTACATCTGATCAATCAATCGAGCTTGGCAAATTTTACCTCCTAAATTGTTCTTAGAAACAACCCCTTTCCTGGAACATCACTAATGTTGTGCTAGGACAAGCCCTCATTCTCTGTGACTTAGGTTAGTCTAGTAACTTCCTAAATAATCTCCTTGTCCCTGTCTTGTGTTCTTGAAATGAATTCTACACCCTGCAGTCAGTGTTTTTTAGAATTCAGGCTTGCCAGCCCAAGCTCCTTGGGACACAAAAGACCCACCACAACCGGGCACCTATTAAACCTCTTCAACTTCCTCTCCCATCCTCTGAGCCTTGCAATTTATGACCTCATTAATCCCAATTAGTTTTTATTTACACACTCACCCACCAGACTCTTGCCTGTCTCCAAGGCTTTGCTATCTCTACCCGAAATGAGCTGTCTCCATGATCTTCTGTTTCCCTCTTCCTTACAAACTTATAGGTTTCTCTAAAGACTCAGCTTAGGTGCCATCTTCTGCAAGAAGCTTTCCTTGAATTCTCCTTTCTGCTGCCTGTTATACCTTTCTTTCTTTCTTTTTTTTTTTAACTACTTTTCTATGCTTGCTGAAATAATATTCTCATCTTCCTGGGTCTTCCACCAAACTGAGAGTTATTTGTGGGTAGAGACAATTTTTATTGTTGTTATTTGCTTGTTTTTGCTTTGTGGCAAGAATTTCAGACTTGGAATCAGATACTCTGGTTTCAACTCTCTCCTCTATTTACCAGCTCCACTTCACTACGGAAAATAATTTTTTATATTTCTGATTCTGTTTTCTCATTTGTAAAGTGAGAATAATAATACCTACTACCTGAACTTTATTGAGTGCCTGGTAGCCCACCAAGAGTTTACTCCTAACAAGGAACAAAGGAGAGGAGGCTGAGTTCAGCTGAGTGACAGTGAAAGAACTGAAAAGAGGTAGCAGAGTAGTGAAGGCAGCTGAGAGAAGATGGAAAGAAAATACCTGGTACTGACATGAGAAGCAGGAAGTGAAGAGGGGCCTTGATAAGGGATGTTACAAGGTCAAAGAAGAGCATCAGGCCATTAGGAGTGGAAGAGAATACAGGCGAGTGGGACAGGAAAGAATGACAGAGTAAAGAGGTTAGCGTATATGAATAGTCCTGCTATTCATAGGGTGAGAGGGTGAGAGGGATTGGGACAAGGAGCAGTCACAGAGATGGAAGAAATAGCATGGAGGTAAGAGATAGGTTGAGGAGATCTGGTGAAAAATCCCTGAGTTTCAACCCAGAGGCAAATAATTGTTCCACAGCTACCAGTGCAGAAAGGGAGTAGGTGGTCAAAGGAAGAAGGAGACACAGAGAAAGGGCTCTGCCATTGCTAGGGAAAGTTCAAGGGGCAGAGGACATTAAGGTGGAGAGCTCTTTGGTAGATAACATATCCAAGGCTGAAGAGCCAAGTAAACTTTGGGAAAAATGAGAATATGGAAGGAAGTCCCTGAGGAAATCTGAGGACTGAAGTAGACCACGTTTGCACAGTGGAGTAAAAGGAACACTGATTTTGGATTCAGACACACCAAACTTTCTTGCTCCACTCCTTACTCTCCTTTTTAAATTTTGAATATGTTACTTTACTTTTCTAAGTCTGTTTCTTTAAGATTTATAAAATTATGGCCAAGTGTGTTGGCTCATGCCTGTAATCCCAGCACTTTGGGAGGCCAAGGTATGAGGATTACTTGGCCAGGAGTTCAAGACCAGGCTGCGCAATATAGCGAGACCCTGTCTCTACAAAATAAAATAAAATTTTAAAAAAAGGTTTATAAAATGAGGATGAAGTCACAAACATGTAAAGTTTATAAAGATTAAGTAAGATAATGTGTGAAAGTGTTAGCAGTTTCTGGCACCCAGTGAATGTTAGAATTCAATGTCTCTCCCTTCTGTCCTATGCCTACCTGCTTTGGGGTTACCCTTGTCTTCCACCTTCGGTTTCCTGCACCAGCAGCTGCTGGATGTCCTGCTGGTGAGTTCACCATTCTTTCATTCTCTCCATTCCTTCTTCTCCCAACAATAGTTCATTCACTAAGAGCACCTCCATGCCAGTGAACCAAGGTCAAAACTATCCCTCTGAGACCCTTATAAAGGTCTCTGGGATGGGGAGGGGAGGGGTTTTGGTGTCATTCTATTCTTATTCTAAAAAGGATGATTCCCCCTGGAGAGGGAGGAACTCTTGTGAGTGCTATTTCCTGTCCTCTTGTTCCAAGTTGCAGCATCATTTTCTGGTTCCCCCGGGCCATGTCCTTTTCAGCTGCCAGTTTCAAGACTCTGCGGTGTGAAGGACCTGTCAGTACTGAGGAGAGCAGCTGCCACAGGGAAGATGACTTGACTGGCCCAAGGGAAGCTGGTTTCCAGGTCAAGGGCTACACTTTCAGTGAACCCTTCCATCTGATTGTGTCCTATGGTGAGGTCCTGGGAAGCCTTGACCAGTGCCCCCAAACCCCTCCTTTCAGCCTCACAGTCCTCTCAGGAAGGTGCCCCTAGGAAACTTGCCATGGGATGAGGTACTCTCTTCCCAGTCTTCAGCCCAAAGCAACCAGGGTGACCTCAGGCCTAGGATCTAGTCAAGTTGTTCCATACTCTCAACCAGGGATGTTACTTGGGTCCTCAGAGGAAGTTTAGGAGAGTCTATTATTGTAGACATCCCTGGGAGAGCTCTCAAGGGATGCAGTGGGTGACACCCAGCTCTTTCTCTGGGCCACAGACTGGCTGATCCTCCAAGGTCCAGCCAAACCAATATTCGAAGGAGACCCACTGGTTCTGCACTGCCGGGCCTGGCAAGATTGGCCACTGACTCAGGTCACCTTCTACCGAGATGGCTCAGCCCTGCGTCCTCCTGGGCCTAGCAGGGAATTCTCCATCGCTATGGTTCAAGAGGCAGACAGCGGGCACTATCACTGCAGTGGCATCTTCAAGAGCCCTGGTCCTGGGAGCCCAGAAACAGCATCTGCCATGGCTATCACAGTTCAAGGTAAGAGCCAGAGGCAGTTCTTCATGGCAGAGGAGGGTAAAGAGGAGCAAGGAGCCCAAAAGGTCTTTCTTTGGCCTAGAGGTGGCGAGATCATGAAAGGCACAAGGAGCAAGTTGCTGGCAAATGCCCATGTTGGATTTCAGGAGCGGTGAGCATTACCTTCTCAAGCCATCCAGTCCCAATCAGAGTCCAGCATGCTTCCTACCACCCAGATCTGTGCTTAACGATTGGGTGTTACCTGTGCTCACTGATTGGGTGTCTATTGTCAGACTTGCACATCTCTGGATTTTTTCTAGTCTGTTTACTTGAAAAGACAGAACTTGAAAGGTTCAAGTCGACCCTTTCCAGGAGATACCATTCCTGATGGAAACAAGGGAAAGGAAAAGTGACCAGGGTTTTTCACCTCTCATGTGTCTATCTGAATACAGCATGGCTGAGCTCTTGTTTCTTGCCTATCTTTCTCTCAGAACTGTTTCCAGTCCCGGTTCTCAGAGCTGCACCTTCAGCTGAGCCCCAAGAGGGAAACCCAGTGACCCTGAGCTGTCAGACAAAGCTGCCTCTGCAGAGGTTAGCCACCCGCCTCCTCTTTACCTTCTACAAGGATGGACAGACAGTGCGAAGCAGGAGTCTATCCTCAGAATTCCAGGTTCTCACAGCTTCAGAGGAACACTCTGGGTCATACTGGTGTGAAGCAGCCACTGAGGACAACCAAGTTTGGAAACAGAGCCCCCAGCTGGAGATCAGGGTGCAGGGTGAGTTAGTGAATACGTGTCTGGTGTGTGTGAAAGGCGGAGGTAGGATGAACAGACCCATGAGCTGGGGTTCAGTATGAGCAGGTTAAGAAGGAACCCAGAGGAGGCAGTAACAGCAAACCAGAGTCCTTGGTGATGGCACACAGCACAAATAGAGAACTTTTTCCTCAGATCATGGTGGATACCTCGCTAACCCAAGACCTGAGCCAACTCCACATTTGCTGCCCCGTACACCACGGGCTCCTCACATCATCTCTAGGAATTTATAGAAATATAAAATCTAGAATGAAGAGGAGGTGGCCTGGGGTCTATGTTCAGTTCTGGGAGCCACCACTAAGAAGATCACACTTGACCTGAAATACTCTCAGAGGAGGTGTCCAGGATAATGAGGGGGCATGAAGCCATGTCATATGAAGAATAAGGGAAGGGGCCAGAGATGTTATCCTAAAGAGAAGGTGATTCAGGAGGCTAGCAAAGAAAGAAAGAAAAAAAGCCGGGTATGGTGGCTCACACTTGTAATCCCAGCACTTTGGGAGGTGGAGGAAAAAGGATTGCCTGAGCCCAGGGGTTTGAGACCAGCCTGAGAAACTTGATGAGACCTCGTCTCTACAATAAATCAAAAATTAGCCAGGTGTGATGCCCTCTCCTGTGTTTTCAGCCACTTGGAAGGCTGAGTTGGAAGGGTCGCCTGAGCCCAGAAGGTTGAGGCAGCAGTGGCCATGAGCATGCCAGTGCACTCCAGCCTGGGCAGTAGAGTGAGACTCCAACTCAAAACAAACAAACAAACAAACAAACAAACAAAACCCAAAAGCTGAAGACTGGCACAAAGACAAGGAATTAGACTAAGGTTACACATAATAAAGAGCTTAACCTAGAACCAGTTACCATATCCATGCTTCAGGGAATTCGATTCTGCCTTGCTAGAGGAAGAACTGACTAGTAGTTGTAGCTGTTTAATGATGAGTCACCATTGCTGAAGATTTTTAAGCAGAGATAGACCAACATTTGGATAAGGAGGGACACTAGAGTCCTCAAGTCCCTGAGGCCATTAGGCCCTACAGCCATTTTCAGAGAACAAGAAAGAATGACCAGGGATATGAGGGTAGGACCAGAGTCAGGCTTCACTCTTGTATATGCCTCCTGCCCTATAATACAGGTCCCTTCAGCTCTACTGCGTCTCCTACCTTGAATCCAGCTCCTCAGAAATCAGCTGCTCCAGGAACTACTTCCACGAATCCCCCTAAGCCTTTGCCTCCACTGTCCACCCCTTCTTCTGAGGATCCAGGCTTCTCTTCTCCTCTGGGGGTGACAGACCTCCATTTGCATTACCAGATGGGCATTCTTCTGAAACACATGCAGGATGTGAGAGTTCTCCTTGGTCACCTGGTCATGGAGCTCAGGGAATTGTCTGGCCGTGGGAAGCCTGGGTCCACAAAGGCTCCTGCCCAACAGAAGTAAACAACTCACCTATGATATTGCTCAACCACCCCAATGAATCCAGTCCTTTCTATTTTTTTCTTCCTGTCCTGCACACGTGCATAAGTAGTTTTACAAGCTGTCTCAGTGTTTTGTTAGAATAATGGAGACAGCTGAGTATAAGTACATTTATACAAAGTGTTAATTGGAGTTTAGCTATAAATGTCTATTCTCTCCTAACTACATGACAACACAATTCCACTCTCTCTAGACCAGAAACTTCCTTCTGTTGCTGACAGAATCTGGAGGATTTAGTGCAGAAGTCTCAACTGGGGGTACTTTTGTCCCCCAAGGGACATTTGGCAATGTCTGGAGACATTTTGGTCATTACCCTGTGGAGAGGGGGTGGGATGTATGTGTTACTGGCATGTAGTAAGTAGAAAGTCAGGCATGCTGCCAATGTCATATAATGCATGGGACAGCTCCCTACAACAAAAGATAACCTGCCTCAAAATGTCAATAGTGCCAAGGCTAAGCCATCACAGCCTAACAAAGCCCTAAGTGTAGGACTCTGGGTTGGGGCTTCTAATTATTATCTCCTTCCTGTCTCATTCAGCAAGTTTTATTTACATGCTAGAATTTAGTTGGTGCTATGGTCTATGTTGTGTCTCCCCAGGATTCATATGTGGAAATCTTAATTCCCAAGGTTTAATGTATTAGGACCTTTGGGAACTGATTAGATCAGGAGCACAGAGTCCTTATTAAGATGATTATGATTAAGATGAGTGCCCTTATTTTAAATGCCCCAAAGAGCTAACTCACTCTTCCACCATCGAAGACACAGTGTGAAGGAGTCATCCACAAACCAGAAAGCGAGGCTTCATCAGACACCAAATCTGTTGGCACTTTGATCTTGAACTTCCCAGTCTATAGAACTATGAAAAATAAATTTTTGTTGTTTGTAAACTACTCAGTTTATGGTATTTTGTTATAGCAGCCCAATTAAACTAAGGCAATTGGTCACTGCTACATACCTGAGTTTATATTATGTTAAGAATATTCATAAGACAGTGCTTCTGCCTATGGTGGACTTAGATTTTGGGGTGGGGTAATAACCCTACACATAACACAATTAACACAGAGTATATAAAAATTATCCACAGGATTCTACTGGCCTCAGAAATATGTAATCAAGCAAGCACAACATTGTCAGAGCAGCAGATATTTATTTTGTGGTTTTTTTTTTTTTTTGAGTTGGAGACTCACTCTGTTGCCCAGACTGGAGTGCAGTGGCTGCTCCTGGCCACTGCAGCCTCGACCTGCTGGGCTCTGGTGATCCTTCCGCCTCAGCCTTCCAAGTAGCTGGAACTACAGGTGCGCGCTACCACGCCCAGCTAATTTTTTAAATTTATTGTAGAGATGAGGTCTTGCCAAGTTGCCCAAGTCGGTCTCGAACCCACGGGCTTAGGCAATCCACTCACCTCAGCCTCCCAAGCACGGGATTACAGGCTGAGCTACCCGGCTAGATATTTGTTTTAATCAATTTTTCTCTAAAATTTTTTTTTAGTGACATATATAACTCCATTGTGGTTCCATTTTTTTGATATTTGGACTACTACTGTACATTCTTAGCCAATGAGAGCTAGTTTTCATGAATACATTCTGTACGCTCTTGCTAAACAGGGAATTCATTTACATATAGTAAAAGTTATCAGAGATTAAGGAAGGAAAAAATGGATGCAGCTGGCTGAGATAAATGTCACCTCTGTACTCCTCATCCATGTGTACACGTGCACCTCTATCATCACATGCATTTTAATTTTTTATCTTATTTCTATTCTCTAGATGGTGAGCTTTTTGAGAATGTTCCTTGAGCTCTTTGTTCCCTGTTGTGTCATTGGTGTCTAGTTTAATAGGTATATATAAGCCCTCAGTATCTTTGGCTGAGTTGATTTAGGCCAGTATAGTAAGCGAAAGCATCTTGAAGAAGTTAGAAATGAAGCTGGACCTTAAAGAATGAGTGTTATGTCTGGCACCAGCAAAATTTCCAGACTCTGTCCAGGGGACCCAACCTAGGTCAGGGGCTTAGAAGCCTCAGTGAGAGAATCTGCCATCTTCAGGGATGAGGAAGACAAGAACAAAGTTTAAAGAAAGATATAGATGAGAGAGAGAGAGAGAGAGAGAGAGAGAGAGAGAGAGAGAGAGAGAGACAGAGAGACAGAGAGAGAGAGAGAGTTATTATCTTTTTCTGTCTAGTCTGGAGAGGTTGGAAGGAGGACAGGAAAGAGGAACTTTTACACTGGGTTTGGTTTATGGCTTGTATAGTTTTAGGGTTCTATAATCAACAGAAATTCCAATGTAGCTATGCTCAATGTACTCTCTGAAACAAACAAGGTGTGTAGGAAGAGGTGCAGAGCTGCCCTCTGAGTACTCCATCCCAGCATCTCCACATTTTCACTGCCCCAGGAAGTCTCTGGAGTCCACCATGCAGGGCTTTTATGGAGGCTTCATTACATAGGGGTGATTGATTAAATCGCTGGCCATTGTTGAATACAAACTCTAGTCACTCTCTCTTCCAAAAGGTCAGGGTGTGGGACTGAAGGTTCCAACCCTCTAAGTACAGGATTAGTTCCTCTGGCAACCAGCTTCAGTCCTCCTAAGAGTCATCTCATTAGCATAAACCCAGGTAAAATTGAACTTATTATAAATATCAAGAGAAGCTCCTCTTATTCTTATCACTTAGAAAATTCCCAGAGTTTAGGAGCTCTGTGCCAGGAGCCAGGAGCAAAGACCATATACATATTTCTTATTGCATCACACACATCTATTAGCTTCTAAAGTTGGGGTACTGAACTTGCATTTCAGATAATTCAGATTCAGATTTCCATGCCTAAATGAATATACTCAAGAAAAAATTTAGCATATGTGTATAATAATATTAATAGTAGCAATGTTTGTAAATGCAAAAATGTAAGTCAACGCAGATGTCTATCAACAGAAAAATGGGTAAATTGTGCTAGTTTCATAAAATGGAATACTATTACTATAACAGTAAAAATGAATGACCCAAAGCTGCTATCCAGCAACATAAATATAACATAAATATATCAAAAATATAACACTGAGTGAGAGAAGCAAGTCGTAGAAGATACCATATAGTATGGTACGATTTGTACAATGCTTAAAAACAAGTAAACAAAGAAATACTGTTTAGACATTTTCACATACATATAAGAAGACTTTTTTAGGGGCACAAAAATGGAAATACGATGGTCAGGATGGTTGTTATCTCTGAGGGGCTGGCTGGGGAAATGAATTGGAAGAGCACATAGACAGACGTAACTTAGCAGTAGTTTTTCTGACTTCTCTGCTAAGCATTTAGAGTTCCCTTAAGAAACATAAGATTAGGCATGGTGGCTCACACCTATAATCCCAGGACTTTGGTTAGCCGAGGCAGGGCGATTGCTTGAGCCCAGGAGTTTGAGAACAGCTTAGGTAACATAGCAAAACCTCAACTCTACAAAGAAATCAAAAAATTTCTGGGCATTAGGGCATGCACCTGTAGTCCCCGCTTCTCAGGAGGCTGAAGCAGGAGGATCACCTGGACTCAGGAGGACAAGACTGAGGTGAGTTATGATTGTGTTATTGTACTCCAGCCTGGGTGACAGAGTGAGACTCAATTCAAAAAGAAAAAAAGAAAGAAAGAAAAAAATATACACACACACACACGTTTATCTAAATTATCTTAAAATCCCTTTGTATTTTCTGTCTTTACCTTATCTTAGAGGTAATATTACTTACAATGTAGTTCTTTCATTTATTGTGTATTTAGTATTCTTTTCTTTATATTTTCTTTATATTAAGTAACCATATAAACCTATTAAAGACTGCTCCCAGTATATTCCTATACTAATTCAAAATCCTGGAAGTAAAAAAATAAAATAAAATATATTGGAATGAAAACTCAATAGATGATATAAACTCTAGATTGAACACTATCAAAAAGAGAATTGCAAATTAGAAGAGCATACAGAGAAATCCACCCAAAATGTAGCACAGAGAAATAAAGAATTGAAAACATGAAATGCATTTAAGAAACACAAAGGATAGATTGAGAGAATTCAACATTTCTCAAAAGTCTTTGGTTGCTCTTTTATATATATTTTATCTTCCTTAGAACAAAATATCTTCAAGGCATAGACAACTATACACAGGGCCATGGGCTGCACCCATAGAATTCCTGACTCAACTTTGATCTCAGATAAATAATTATCTGCAGACAGATCTAGCACAGTATGTGGTAGACGTATACTATACCAGTACTCTGACAAGTACTATTAGTTTTTACCTCTGTATTTCTCATAATGTTAAAGGGATTCAATTTAAAGAAATTATCTCCTGTCTATTCTGAAATTGTCCTTTATATGTCTTCAGTATTGAAATGTCTTTCTTTTATTGAAAATGTTGCATTCAAAAATAGTAATTTTTAGACTGGGTGCAGTGGTTCATGCCTTAATCCCAGCACTTTGGGAGGCTAAGGTGAGGGGATTGCCTGAGCCCAGGAGTTGAAGGCCAGCCTGGGTGTTGTGGCAAGACCTCATCTCTACAATAAATTAAAAAATTAGGTATATGCCTGTAGTCCCAGCTACTTGAAAGGCTGAGGCAGAAGGCTCTCCTAAGCCCACAGATCAAGGTAGTAGTGGCCATGATGGTGCCACTGCACTCCAGCCTGGACAACAGAGTGAGACTCTAATTTAAAAAAAAATATTAATTTTTAAAATGTTCTTATTTAGGAAAGGAAAAATGTGTTTGTCAAAATTATAAAATTAAGACATGCCAAATATTGATGGCAAGAGGGCGCAGGAGCCCTGTTAACTGTTAGTGGGAATATAAACTAGTGCAGTCATTTTTTGAAAGTAACCTCACAAGATTCGATCTCTTCCTTTGTTTATGCCACAAATACTTAGCATGTGCTACGTGTTGTCACTGTTTTAGGTGATGCAGTACTGAACAAGAAAAATTCCTGCCTTCATGGAGCTTACACTGTGATGGAGAAAACTACTGCAGATGAATAAACACAATGTCAGGTAGTGACAAGTGCTATGAAGAGAAATAAAGCACCATATGGAGCCAGAGAATGATAGTGAGGGGATACTATTTTAGATAGTGTGCTTATTAACAGTCTCTCTGAGGAGGTGATATTTGAGTGGAGTGAGGAAGTGAAACTTGCAAAGATCTGGGAGGAGAATAAGAGTCTTTCAGGCAGAAAGAACAGCCAGTGAGGCCCTGGATTAAGACTAAGCATGGGATGTTCTAGGAACTGTCAAAAACACAGGGTAGCTAGATCAGAGTGAGTGAGGGGGAAGGTCATAGGAAGTGAGGTTAAGGGTCAGGCAGAGGCTCAATCTTTAGGTGTTTGGGTTCTATTCTCACACTAAAGTGCTCACTAAAGTGAGCTGGTGCCATTGTCATCACAGCAGCATTAACCCATTAGCCCATTATCATCATCATCACTGAGGATATTATAGCAACAGAATTCTTATCAAATGATGGCATATCTTGTTCAGAAGTTATGTCATAATAGGCTTCAAAAATTGTTCAAGTAATAAATGATAGTTGCTAAATTTATCTGCATAGTAAACAAGTGATTGAATTAGAAATTCTAGGTTGGGAGGGAAAGTCTTGGAAGAAGAAAAAGACTCAGTTTGGGAAAAGTTCAGAGGAGATTCCAGAATAAAGAAATATTGTGACTGGGTGTGGTGGCTCATGCCTATAATCCCAGCACTTTGGGAGGCTGAAGTGGGAGGATTGCTTGAGTCTAGGAGTTCAAGACCACCCTAGGCAACATAGCAAGACCTCATCTCCACTAAAACAAACAAACAAACAACAACAAAAACAACAAAAAACCCTGGGCATGGTGGTGCATGCCTGTAGTCCCAGCTTCCCAGGATGCTGAGGTGGAAGGATCCCTTGAGCCCAGGAATTTGAGGCTGCAGCGAGCCATGATCCATGCCATCACACTCCAGCCTGGGCAACAGAAATGTTGAGTGGGAGATTTTTCAAGTCAAATTCCAAGCACTGTATGCTATGAATACTACCAGTGATTCCAGAGATTTCCGGGGAAGACTATACAGCTTACAAATTTTTGGTGTAGTCAGGTTTCTTCTGAAGCCAGTAAAGGGACAGAGATCTGTGTTCTGGGTGATGAGAAGCCAAAACAGAATCAGCTTGTGCAGACTACGAAGATGGCAGGCAGCTGCATTGCATTCTTACTACGGAGGCAATTGTCTGGTGCAGAGGTCAGATCTCTGAGGCAAGTTGCGGATGTTGTGGGGCATCCCACACTGTCCCTGAGATGAGGAGTAAGGCAGTGAGTGTGTGTGGAAGCACAGAAGCATTGTGCAGCCTGGACACTACAAAAGCAGGCCGTTGATCATCTCTGCTCCCAGTGTCTGTTTCTTCTTTCCCTCCCCATACCTGGGCACCTTATCATATACCTCCCTACTTTTAGACCCATATGACACTTCTTTTATCAAAACCTATTCACAAAACAGTATCTGAAGCAGCAAGCATAATTTAAATGACCAGTCACATTTCCCTAAGAGGCATTTGCATTTAGTTCATTAATCTAAAATACGAAAGAATTCTCAAAGTGGAATTTCAGGCATCAGCAAGAGGGGAAGATACCATCTTAATGAGAGTTGACAGTGTCTGATAATTGATCTCCTTCCCACCAGAGTTCCAAGGAAAGAAGGTGCCCCTGTTCTAAACAGTCACAGGTGAGGACAGGATAGAGTCCAAGGAGACATACTATCAGGCTGGAAAATTCATTAAGTATTTACATGAAAATTCAAGTTCCCCATTGCTCAGGTATAGTCATGTGATTCAGAGAGCACACGAAGCAGAGCCTGGAGGTCAGATCTGAGAAACTTGCAAGGACCTGATGCAGTGACTTCCCCACCGCAGGTCAGGAGTCCTGGAACTGGGGCATGGCTGGGGAGGGGTTGCAGGGAAGCCTGGAAAGAAAGAAGAAAGGAATGAGTGAATGGAGGTGACACAGGGTGAGAGGATCGGAGTGGGTAGGAAAGAAGAGTTCCCTAATTTCTGAGAGTGCCAAGATTCCGGAAAAGGAGGAAAAAGAGGAAAGTATTGCATTTCTATCCTAGACTGGGGAACTAGATGACAGGGACACGAAGGGTGGTTGGTGAGTCATATCTTTCTGCCTACTCATTGCAGAAGGATGTGAGCTCAGGGTGCAGGCAACCCATCATTGACCTCACTAGGCCTCATGCCAATGTCTGTCATCAGGAGTGAGCAGAAAAAAGGCCTCAAGTGGGCCTTGAGGACACGAGTCTGTGCATTCCTCAGTTGAGGCTTGCGGGGCTGACTGGAAAGTGGGGAGAGGGTGGGATGGGAGTGGGATGTTGATGAGCATCTGAAGGTGGCAGCGTCACCTGCTGGAGCCTAGGGTTCTATAAGGCTCTCTTGTGTTGTGGAGGCACAAGTTCTGCAGACCTTCTTTACAGGAGTCAGGGCTAGCCTGAGCTGGGAAGTGGCTGTAGAGGTGGAAGACAGGACAAGGCCTGGCACTTGGGATACCCGGGGGTTAGCACATATTCAGCCTGTCTCCCGCTCTCTCCAGTCCACTGTCTTCAGGAATGGGTGGGAGAGGAAGCAGTGTCTCCTAGTACTTAGGGTCAGCCATTGGCCACCTTCTTTCTCTCCCCCCCATCTCATGCCAGCACAACTTCATTTTTTTGCAGCTGCCACAGGCACATCCAGCATGTGGGCCCTGACTGTCCTTCTGCTTCTGGGTGAGTCCCCAATGAAACAGCTGCAGCAGAAGGACTTTGTGTGGTGGAGAAGGAGGGTGGGCCAGGAGCCAGGGGGTGGGTATTCAATCCTCACATTCCAAGCTGTTCATTATCTATTTTCGGAGGGGTGAAGAAGAGGTGGCTTTCTCAGAGCTGGGGGAACCAGGGGGAGAAGAAGAAAAACAGGCTTCGAGACCATTTAATCTTTCCTATGGTCAAGAGTCCTTTTCTTTCCTCTCATCCCCAACATTCTCCTTCTCCTTCTTTCTTGTTTTGCAGTTTCAAGCAGTGGGCAAGCTGGTGAGTCTTACACATCCCTCCTCCCAATTTTCTACAGCTTCCTCTCTAACTCCAGTGGGTGACCTGCCTGGATATACCTCCTCACTTCCTGGCTGTACAGGGATAGGGTTCTCTTCCCACTCCTCAATTCCTGTGACTAAGTTTGCTTCTAGGCCCTTAGAAATGGGTACTGATTGATAAGACTGATAGTTTGTGACCCAATGAATGTGATCTCTCCTCCTGCAGGGGTGGGATAGTACATGGGCTGGGTCCTAGAAGCTGGGGTTTTCTAAAATTTCCCAAGCTCAGATTGCATCTTTGTGTACCTCACCTTGATTCTCTTTTCACACTGCCCACTCGTTCCCTCCCTCCCAGTTACCCTGGAGAAGCCCATATTGTCTCTACACCCACCTTGGACCACAATTTTCAAGGGAGAGCGAGTCACCTTGAGGTGTGATGGATACCACCCTCTACTCCTGGAGCTCCGGCCTATCAGCACTCTCTGGTATTTGGGCCACTTACCACTGCCCTCTCACAAGAAGAGCATTGAGGTGCAGACAGCAGGGGTGTATCGATGCCAGACACGGGGGGCACCTGTCAGTGACCCCATTCACCTCTCTGTATCCAATGGTGAGTGGTCTAAGCATGAGGGGAGGGGGAACGTGTGTCTCCACTGGTGATACTGTCTCTTCTGTGGGAGGGGATACTGGGTCACTCCCAAGGGGCAGAAAAGGAAGGCCACACTGGGGCCTATCTTGAGTCTCTGGAGTAAGCAGGGGCCGGAATGGTACTATATGAGAGGCAGTAAGGCACGTCTGGCCCCAAAGGCTCCCCTTTCCCTCCTGCCACAGTGTGAGGCAAATGAACAATTCTGTTTGTTTCTCAGACCAGTTCAGAAGAGCTGAGACTCTGAGGATCTGGATATCAGACAGAGAACTTGTGGGGGAGGGTTGAACAGGAAAGGACAAAGCAAACAGGAAATGCAAGTGCTCCTGGGCAGGCTGAGCACAGCTGGGGAAATTGCTCTTGATTGAACAGTGTGATGCTTCTCTGTGCCTCAGTGTCCGACTGGCAAAGTAGGAACAATAAAAGTATCTATTTCTTTGGCTGTTGTGAGGATTAAAAATGAATAATGATCAACTGTTAAATAAATAGCAACTGAGCAGAGTCCTTAATCACAATTTTATTACAGACATGTATACATGTGTACATAGGAGTCAATTGAGAAATTGACTCTAGAGATACTTGAAAAGTTTTACAGCAGGACAAGGAAAAATAACAAGAATTTATTCATTAAGGTACAGGATTGGCTATTTCATAGAGAATATTAGGTCATCTTAGCCTGGTGGGTATTCAGAATTTAAAGAGATCACTCAGTGTCCGATTAGCACTTACATACACTTGTGTTCATACTTTGCAGTTTCTTGGTTGAAGATTGTTAGTGAGGGCAAAAATATAGTGAGTACATAGTGATTACTGCTTACAGACTGAGTGCATACAGATTGTGACTATTGTAAAATTCTTTCTCAACGTACAACATCTGAAATGGCACCTAGTATGTGCTAGGGCTGTGTAAGTGCTTGGGTTAATATAGAGTGTTGTAGTAGATACCTAAGATTGTTCTGTATTGTCAGGAAGTTTTCTGAAGGAGATAAGGTCTAAGCCTAGATATGCAGAACAGGCCTCAGCTTAAACAGGTGAAGGAGGATCATCTTTGGCTGAGGAAATAGCCAGTGCAAAAGCCTTGGGCTCAGAATAGGGCCAATTTCTGAGCAGTCTGGTACTGATGGAACTACTGATGGAACTTAGCCTGTGTTGAGAGCAGGAGGTAGGAGGATAAAGAAGAAATGAGCAAGTGAGAATACTGAGATGGCACTGGAGAGGCAAGCAGGGCCGGGTCAGGAGGGCCGGAGTTTATACTTGATTCTTATGGGCAACACTCTGAGGCTGCAGCCAAGTCTTTGCCTCCCTGGTGCCTCATGAAAGACCAGTCTTCTTTCTTCCTCCACACTAAGCTTCAAATACATTTTGCACTATGAGGGTCCTGGGTGCCAACTGCTGGGGAAGGCCTGCCCACTCAAGAAAGGGGGCAGAAGCTGGTGGGGAGGGAAGGGAGAGCAGCTATGGGGGGAAGCAGGGAGGCCTAGAACGAGAGACTGAGAATGGGAGACCTCCAGGGCTGGATTTTCTGTGGCGCCGAGCGTGTCTGTGGTGTCTGCCTTAGACTGGCTGATCCTGCAAGTGCCCTACGCTCCCGTGTTCGAAGGCGAGCCGCTGGTCATGCGTTGCCGCGGCTGGTACGACAAGGTGGTCTACAAGCTCCACTACTACCACGACGACCAGGCCGTGCGCTACTTCCACTCCAGCGCTAACTACACGGTGTTGCAGGCGCGTGCCAGCGACAGCGGGCGCTACCAGTGCTCGGGCACCATGCGCATCCCGGTGGAGAGTGCTCCCATGTTCTCCGCCAAGGTGGCTGTGACCGTGCAAGGTGGGAGAGACCTGGGGCCCAGGAGGGAGGCAGGCGAGCACTGGGAATTCTGGGACAGGAATCAGGCAGGGAAAAGATGGTCGAAGATTCACTTGGGGGATTTCTCTGCCAGACCACGGACGCTGTCTCCTCTCCCCCGCGGTGAAGGAGCGCTCGTCCTGAAGCCTGCTTGGAGGCTGTGTCCCTTCCCCTCGACGCACACCCTGGCTTTTCACTCTGCTGGGCACCTTCACTTAGGGGCAGCTCTGACCTCAGCCTCAGTCAGAAGGGTGGTGGCAGTGGTAGGGGGCTCTGTGGACCGGGACGAAGGCGGGGCCCCCAGCGTACAGCGAAGCAGGGGTAGGGTCCCTCTTTGGAGGCTGAAGAATTCCAGCTGGGTGTCAGTCGGGATGTGACCCAAAGGTCATGGCCTGGTCCCACCTCCTTGGGCCTTTGCCCTCTGAAGAAGGCGGACTTTCCGCATCCCTCGTGGACTTGGCTCTCCCCTCCCTCCACGACCTCTTTCCATCCTCTCTTGGTCCCCGGGAGGGCGCGGAGCCCTCGCGGGAAACAGGAGAGGTCGCGGGGTCGAGGCGAGCTGGCTCTGGTTCCTCCCCGCCATATCCGCAGAGCTGTTCCAGGCGCCGGTGCTGCGGGTGCTGGGTGCGGAGGAGGCACGCGGCGGGG